CTCACTGGAAACTCATAGAAATAAATGGGAGCTATGTATTTATTAATGTGCCACTTTAAAGAAAAGTAACAAGAAGATGTGTGACTGTTTAACTAATTTTAGTTTTAGGCATTAATAGATAATGAAGTTCCTGAATGTAGTGCCAACTCTAGCTGCTGTATGACGTGGGTTACTCACCACACAACGTACATGACTGCCAGATTTCCGTTGACACACTGTGAAGTAGATAGTCACATCAGTTACCGTCAGGATATCAGTTCATGTGTTCTGGAGTCTTGTTCTGATGAAGGCGCACCTTTTCTGTTATCACCCTCTTTGACCTAAATAAGTGAAATGAAAGTTTTATTGTCTTTTAAGTTTCGAAATATGGTTGTCATGATATTCTTCATAAGTGACAGTACGGCCTTTCTCGATGACCTCAGGTGTTTTCATTATCTTCGTGTCACTCTGGATCCCTCACTGAACTGAAAATTAGGGTTTTCGTTCCTGTGATTTGTTCCTACTTCCTAGAATGTTTGACGTACAATGTGTTCTTGTTACTAGATTTCACCAAATTTCCATTTTTCTCAAACGTGATTGGTATAAATATTTGTCCACATACCGTGTTATGAAGGAATACTTATCATGTCTTTTGACTGCTGATTTTTATTTGCGGATGTGAGGATGAAAAAGTTTGCATTTGTGTTTTGCCGCTGGGTCTTACCGTCTAAGTGTTGTTGGAAGAAATGAGTGTTGGTTTTCACAAAAAATCTATTCCCAAAGGTTTCCGTTGTGTGGCAGGGATTTTCAAAGTGCTATTCATATATAGTAGTAGAAAATTTTTTTGTTGTTTCAGAAGAATGGTTTGAATTTTCAGTTTGTTCTAGAGAAGACTTTCTTTGAAGAGTTTTCGTGGATATCCATTTCGTCAAATGGTAATTAGATGTTTCTTCTTTATTGCCTCAGGAATACGAGTAATGGAGTTAGTCTGGGACTCCAATATGGGTAAAATTATTTTGATAAAGTCTTACAGTGTTATACAGTAATATTTGCTGATGACGTTTCGAGTACAATTTATTGCTCATAGTCATATCAAGGCATTACTCACACAACTTTCTAACTTCGTTTATATAATTCCATTAATTTCCATCGTTTGATTTGATTGGTAATAGTATTTTCCATATTTCCGGTATTAGTGATAAGTCAATCCTATTGCACGTGTTTGGTGTATACTCGATGAACCAGGCAGGATTCAGTAATCAATCTCTCTCTTCACCTACCTATATTACTTCTTAGAATTTCAACCCTCTCCCACCCTACTGTGAGTTTGTGTGTTAATGAATGTAATGCAGTTGCTGAGCCTTTTTCTAAATTACTTATCTTGTCGGGGTCAATCATTCCAACCTTAGCTAAATTCTTATGTTCCGACAATCTGACTACCCCAACCTATTGTTCTGAAAATCTGAACGCAAATACCAGAAATGTGGAAGATATTGTTACCAGTCAAATCAGAGGATAATAAATAATGTTAAAAAGTATTTCAATTCACATTTCAACATTCTAACAAGTTATTTATTTTACTGTAAAAGCATCTTATTTCCCATCTGATTGTATTTGATCAATAACAATCATATTATTATTATTTCTGAATGTACATTATCCTATATTGATTTTTATTCAAATGTCTAATCATCAATTCCACTCATGTATATAAATGAAGCAAGAAAGTTGTGTGAGTGAACTTGATATGATTATGAGTAGCAATAGTTTGTGCTTGAAACGTCACCAGTAAATAATACTGTATAACACTGTGAGACTTTATCAAAATACATTATATTCATAATGAAATTATACTCTACCACAGGGCACAAGTTCTATTCTTATATCAGTTAGTCGGGGACTTTTTGAGTAATGTTTACATACATCTAACTTTGTGAACTTTTCAATTATTTTTATAATCAATATTTGATCAGTGTGAGGTGAAAGTGTATACCTTTGTTTCGAACTTCTTTGTACTTGTTCTGTTGACCAAGTAATTCAAAAATGGCGGCTTCTCGTCTGAATTCACCTAGAATCAGCTATTGCTTCGGTTGTTACTGTCGACTTGATCATTTTTCCCAATATCAATTAACCAACTCACTCATGTTTTCGGTTGATTGTTGATGTCATTATCGTTTCGTGTGTTTGCATAATACCCTTAGCTGATTGAGAGACCGAGTTTCCATGTAGAACTTTGTACGGAAATTCAACATTTCAAGTTACCACACTTCAAATACTACACAAAAGATAGAGAAAGGAAGAGGCTGAAAAGAATCACAATGAGTTTATGTAATAATGAGACTGCTAGGTTCATCAGTCTGTTTTTTGTTAATAACATTCAACTTTGAGAAGGTCAGAAAAGCTAGTAAAGTTAGTCAACGAGAGTATTGTGAACTAAACGGAAAACACGGATAAATTTCTATTGTTTTACTGAAACAAAACCATGACAGACAGCATTTATTAACTAGTCTGGATGAGCGTGTCAGTCATGCGAAAAAGGTTTAATTTATAAGCATGTTCATTAAGGCCTTTCTTAAGAAATCACATAGATTTAATTAGTGAAAGTTAGACTTGTAGCCAAATTGGATTGAATTTTCGGTACATATTATAAAATGTTCTGGAGGACAAAACTATTCAACTCGTCGATTGATTAAAGCCATATACTTCTAATGGAAGGCACTTGTTTCTATGTATGCCAGTAATAAATATTTGTCAACTTACTCAGAGAGTTTGTATCATCTTGGACAAATCATGATATCATGTAAACATCACAATATTATTACTTATTTGAAATTTTCGACTAAATTTGTAACTATTATCCTTTTTATCCTAGGCTGTATATCATGGGCTTAACGATTGCATATCATGTGTTGACGCGATCGTTATTATTTAGAATTGTCCGTATTTAATCTCTAACTTATTTGCTCCTCATGGTGATTTAACTGAATTTTAGATTTTCCCGTCGATTGATTGGACCGAAGTGCTTGGTCTCAGGTTGACATGTCAGCTGCTTGTGCAGATGCTTCGACGATGTCTGAGCATGTAGTTAGAATTTAATTTGTGGATGGTGACTAGCAGTGGAATCCAGGATGCGCATGAGCACTTCGGTCCAATCAATTGACGGGAAAATCTAAAATTCAATTAAATAATTAATATGACCCATTGCACAAGAGGTGGCCCTCGTGGTCCAAGTGGTCTAGTGGATAACACTTTGGCGTTTGAAACTATGGGTACTGGGTTCGAGCCTCGGTGGGAACATCATTACTCACTGGGGAATGCAGGTACATCCACTGGCTGACGAGTCCCAAATAAGACGGGATGTGCATCCTGGATTCCACTGCTAGTCACCATCCACCAACTATCTCCAGTTCGTTCCAGATACTTCCTGGATGATATGCATTTGTTTACCTTATTTTTAGAGTTCCCTGCAGCTAATCATTTTCAGTCGGCCATTCGATCTTCAGTATAAGGTGTACAACTGAATTTAGGTATGAAACAGATTCATATTATACTTAAACTTCTGGTTAAAATACTGACGTTATTTAAGTCATTCAGGACGAGGGATAATAGCTGAACAACGTTAATAATAATTCAGCATCACATATGCGATAATCATGATTGGACCAATATTTTTGCTTTCAGACAACGTCTGTTATTGAAGCTTCCTTGTATATCATGGAATATGACGACCCGCTCTAAGGGCTTACCAAATGAGTCAAAAAATTCTTCATAACTAAAGCCAACGTAAACAGAAAACCAGAATCAAATAACTAGTGACTAGAATACATTCGGAAAACATAGGTCAAAATCAGCAGATAAGAGTTAACGAGAACATCAGAAAATAAGAAAGCAACCAGGACTATAACAATTAGCTTCGCCTTGTGGTTATGTGATGATAGTGGCAATGTTTTTGAATGAAATCAACGGTTACCGTAAGGATTTTGACCTTTGACTGTTTGGTGGGATTGTTTGGTGTGTGATTCTTGCTGATAGAGTTTTGATCCCACCTCTTTGGCAGTGTTCTTTTTGATTCTCAGGTGCTTCTTTTGGTTGATTTTGTTTAACTAATTTTGTTCTACAGCGCTTGTTTCGTATTAGAGAAATTAGTGGATCCATATGGCTTTCTAACAGCATTTTCGGGGTAATTTGTATCTCAGGTGACTGTCATTTTGCTGTAGTCTGGGCGCTTTGGGACTGTGAGAAATTTAAGGAAGTTTTGGTTAGCTTGTAGTGGACTTAACGGCTAAGTTCATTTATACGTAAAATAAAAAGAACAAAACAAATAAAAACCTGAATGTATGCAGAATGGTATTCAGTGCACATAAATTAATATACACATAAAATGCAGTTATTTGAAAAGTTATAACTGTCCCAAAATACTTAAATATAGACGTACAGAATTGCAGGGATGAAGTAGTCCTCTTCTTGGGTATATATATGCTCACTACACGTAAGAGATGCCAACGGCCAGAGGACACCTGCAGAGAGAAACGTAGCTTGGAGTAAAGCATCCTAATGTGGATGTACCGATCAGCTACGAGGCAGAGTTGGTTGGCAGATGTGAAAAGCGAGAAGCTGGAGAGGGAAGAAGTATCGTCCGTATTGTGCGCGGAACTAGGTAGTGTCCTTGTTCAATCTTACGTAGCAACCATGATTTTCTGTGAATTTTATTACCTTACTGTTTTACGGTGAACGTATAATTTGATATTTTCCAGCCACCACAAGCCATACAATAGAACGCGAGGATTTATTTCTCGCATTCAGACTACAATACGTTGGTTTTGGTAGCTACAGGCCTTTTTATCATCTACCTTACTGGTTTGTAGTTTAATGTCCATGTTTTTAGGGTCCAGTGTTTTTTCACAAAGTCGATAAAAGCTCTTCGCTTTTTAGGTTTGAATAGGTTTTTTAAATGCTTCTTATTCCCTATAAACTTCTTTTAAAACAGCTCCACTAAGATATCACTTTTTACAAATTTACAGTTACTGGCTACTGACAATGATGTTAATTCAACTATCACATATTCATTAGAAAATAGAGCTGATTCAAATGTCACATCAAAATTCAAGGTTGAAACAAATGGCCGAGTGACTCTGGCTGATAGATTGGATTATGAACAAAGCAGCTCCTATAGCTTCACTGTACGCGCTAGTGATGGAGAATTTTATGCCCTAGCTAGACTTATTATTGAAGTTATAGATGTGAATGATGAACCTCCGGAGTATGTATTAAATCCACATCGATTGACGATACAAGAAAATAAACCTGCAAGAACATTAATTGGTCAGGTAAGATTTTTTTGGCTATGCTGTTTTGATATCGTTTTTGTTGACCATACAAGTTATTATTGTTCCCTGTGTTTCCAAGTAGAATATAGAGCTTCAACTGACCGACTCAGTTTAGTCCTTTCCTGTGTAGTCTCTTTTAGCTGGCTCTCGGATTGCCTATAGGCATTCACTTCCTTCTCACATGATCTTCAACATATCATCCCCGAACTAACACCCAGCAGTTCGTTTTCGGTTTCAATTTTACTGGAGCTGTGGCCTGGAGCGGGATGTCAGTCAGTAGTCTCTTCAGCTTGTATCAAACCAACCTCCTTTTTCTTGACTTGTTTGCTCGTAGAGTTCATTGTTCCTAATTCTTTCCGACCTCCGATCTTCACTGGGGATCGAAAGCAGCTGTTAATTAAGTCTGAAGCCTGTTGCAAATGCTCTTCTTGGCGCACCAAGTTTCTGATCCACATAAAAGAACTTTCTTAGCATTGGTGTTGAAAATCCAAATTTTGTACTTTACTCTGAGTGCAGACTTTTTCCAAACCGATTTCAGAGCGATGAAAGTCTGCTTTGCATTTTGGATCCCGATTGACATTGACATCGTCAACCACGCCACCACCAGTGTCTGAAACAATGCTACCATGATAAATGAAGGAGGTGACTTCCTTCAATTATCTGTTGTTGACATTGATTACTGCTTCTTGTTGTTGGTTTGTTATCTTCAACACCTCCGTTTTGTCTATGTACGCTTGAGGTCCTGTCTTTGTTGCCTGCGTGTTCTACCAACTTGTTCTTTTTCTCCTGCACTCTTCGAGTTTATGTGAAATTGGAGAGAAATCATCCACGAGGTTCGAATTTTCTATGGCTTTTTTCCGTAGGTCTAACGTATTTTTGTCTTCTCACTTCCCACCGTCTTTTGCATGGTACATTCCACCGCAATAAGGAGTTTCATCTGTGATAATAGTAAGTCTTCTCTTACTCCTGTCTTCACATCAGAGCCTCCACTTCATTCTCCGTTGTAAATCACTTTGATATGTATCAATGTCATATACTTGTTGAATGAGATTGATTATGATTCGTGACACTCCGTCGTCTTGAGATAGTCTCCAAATTACTTCACCATCGACCATGGTAAAGGCTTTTACAAAGCTGACGAAGCTGAGGTGGGAATTCGACGGCTTTTATGTCTTCTGCTTGGCAGCCTCCTCCTCCTCCTCGATCCATCTCCATCTCGCCAAACAAATATGACGAAGAAAATGGAGATGGATCGAACACACAGTCGGGAGACCGACGAGTTATGTCACGCGCCTGACCCTCGAATGGAACCTGAATGGGAAGCAACGAGTTGGTGGTTGTTCCATATGTGACATGAAGCAGATTGTATAAAGAGAAAATGAAAGTTAATGCGTAATTGTGAAGTTGGCTAATAGAGACTGCAGAAAACTCGGCTAGAATGGAGATATCCTATGTCCTAACTGGAACCCAAAGGAATAATAGCAATAGTCAACCACCATTAGTTACCCATTAGGCTTAGACAATTTCCCTTGTACTTTTGTCTATTTGTATTTATTTATTTAAACGCGGAAAAACTTAGTACAATATGGCACCAAGATGATGTGCCATACAATAATAATAAAACAACATAGATTAAAAATAAAAATATGGGTGGAGAACGGATAAGGAACTTCATCTGGAAGGAAAACAGACATACTTAACAAGTTCAAACAGCATTCGTTAACTATCGTCAGGAAGGGAAGAAAGAAGGAAATTGCAGCACGTTCACCACTGACTGCGATTCTTGGCCATATCTGATAACGTTTCGAGCCATCGATTTGAGCTGTCTCTCGGACTCCAACCAGGGAGATGTGACGCACCAACCGATGCTAACCTAGCACAAATATCCTTCATCCCAGGACACCAAGTCATGGACTGACCACCTCTCCACCTTTTCCATCCCGTCCCAGGGCTAGCGAATAGAGACCTGTACGGAAGCCTCTGGGATGACATTCGCAGCACATGTTCAAGCTGCAGACCATGACGACACTCAACAAATGGTGATCTCCACTGTGTTCACACACAGGCCGCCGAACCTCAGAATTACTCACGTGATGATACCATAGAACGTACTTTACCACCGAAATAATTGTTGTTATATTTACATTTTTGTAGTAGCTCAAGCTGTCTTAATCAATGATAATTACTTACCATCCTATCTTCTATTTTGGTCGTACTAAACTTCACTAGCATTGATTGTATTTGTGTCTTCTATTGACTACTGCATGACAACGTTTGTGGATTAATAACTTGAAAACTTGTAAAGAACTTTGATTAAAACACTTATTTGAATTGTATGAGATGAAAATATAACGCATTTGTGAATATCACATACTCACTGTAGAAATTGACATCCGCAGGAAGTTGCTGCGTGATTGTTAAACAACTGTTTGTCTGATCTACCCAGAAATATGATAAGAGGATAGACGTACATTAAAAAAAGAAATAAATTCATCTTACTTTTTAGCTCAAAAATTTGATTTTCTAAAACCACAAGAACACTTCAACGTCTAAGAATAGCTGGGAAATACTTTCTCAAGATGGAGTAGGCTATAAAAACACTGATCATATATATATATGTCACTCAACAGGCACCCTTGGTAAACGGACAGTTTTTCTAGTAATGAATAAAACCAACAGATAGTTTAATTCTAACAGTTAAAGTAGGGAGTTTATAATTACAAGGCTGTAACACGTCCGATACGGCAGTGACCGATATATGCTTCTTGTAGACTCCGATAAAATAAAAAATCACTTGTTACAACAGTGTCGTTGATTTCAGTATATCTTTCCTATACGCTTTACTTTCCTCAGTGTCACTACCCGACATCCAACTGGTCGTTTTCTATGCACCTTTCATTCAAGGATCAGGCGCATGATGCTATTCAGCGGTCAACTAAGCATTTACCCACTTCATTTCCATTTATTTTGACATATTTCTTGAAAAATAGTTTCTTGGTTGATTTGTTGTCTGCCAGAGTCGCATACTGCTAATTCTTTCTGGCTGGCCACCTGATCTTCAGTATGGAGCAAAGGTAGCTATTAACGAAAGTATGTAGTCTGATGGAAATACTCTTAGTGACGCGTTCTCCAAGTCTCTGAACTATATGAAGGTAATCACCGATTTGACAACAGTACTGAATGTCAAACCAGTGAAAGTCTGCCCTGCGTTCCCAATCTTGCCCACCACTGACATCCTGATCCGCTTCGCTTGTTGTTGAAACCATATTGCCTAAGTAAATGAAAGAAGTGGCCTCGTCTGAATTTCGTCCGTTAATAGTTAGGACGAACGATTATACTCATTTCAGGTTTGCTTCCCTTGATATGTCCGTGTTACACAAATTTTGAACAACCACTTGCATACTGGTGAGTGGTTATAAGAAGACGTAAATAACAAGACAGGATTCCACTGAAAACTACACTCATATACCTAGGATTCTTTACAGAGCTAATGATGGGAAAAGGGACTTCTAATCCAGAATATCCAGTGACATAAGTTTCGAGATGAAATAAAGATGTCATGAATTCACATGTTGTTGTCGATAACCATTCTGTGCCTTTCACATAGTCAGAGACGTACTCAATAGCATGTATTAGAATATTTTCATTTATTTATGAGTATAAAATACATATTTATACGTCATCCTCATTAAACGTTTCATAAAGATTGATTTTTATAAATGAAACTAATATCAAGCCATATTTCGTTACGTGTTGACATTATTTACAGAACTATTATAGTTCCTGGAGTGGATGACTGACTGAAAGAGTGTCAGCATAGAACTTTTCACAGAAGTGTAGCAGTTCCAGTTGTCACTCTCCGGATGGCACGCAAAGAAAGACAGAAGAGGGAAAAAAGAGATTCAAAAGGACCATAATCAACAAAAACTTTGAGGAATAAAGAACAGTGACGTAGAAAAATATGTCATTTTAGTGAATATGGGAGATCACAGAGAGTGAATGTATCTGTACCACTGTGGGGACACTTTTCAGCCGTATCACTGATATTCTCCAGTCATTGGTTCTAAGCATCCCAGAAAGTCTACACCTTCCTACTTCGTTCAGTCTAACTTTCAAAGATTTCATGGAATGATTCCAAGTTTTAGTTTGACCACCGCTAGCTCTGCCCTAAATAGGGACACGTCCTGATCAAGTCTGGAAGGTGGCTTAATGGCTTCACCGCTGTCTGTTTTTTATGTCCGCTCAGTCATAGGCATAAATGTGCGCGAACCAGGGCATGGTCGGAGTCTATGCACATATTTCAGAAAGAGCAGTAATCTCCTGCCATCCCTCGCCAACGACAGCTTTTCGCTATGGAGTCTATTCTAGTCCATCGACGATTTGACGATGGAAGTCGCCAAGTTGTGCTATGTCTCTCTGCGTGTCTGAGTTTAGTGCTGACCAGGAACAGATGATTACCTGCATAGAACTGTAGAAGGCGGTTACCATTGTCCGTTCGTCCTCAGGAAACTCCCTAAATGCCAACAACATACTCCTCAGACTGAAACAATTTCCCTAATTGGGCACTGAAGTGGGTAATTTTAAAGAATTTTATACTAAGATGAAATAGTGCTCCTTGTAGTTTAATGGTTCTTCTACATAGTGACATTTCCTGTCAAAATCTTCTAAGATTTGAAAACCGGGTTATTCATCGCTGAAAAATGTTCTTTTCAATTTCAGTTACAGAGACTTGTATCATTTGCATTTTATTATATTATAAGGTATCTTCATGTAATAATAATTCTGACCTATATTTCACGTGCTCTTAAAATCTAGCTTCTCATAATTGATCGCGATAGTCCAGAAATAAATGGGCAAGTACAGTGTGAAGAACCCTCCGATGTTGAAACAAAACAGCCTATACTCTTTGTGAGAGAATCTACTTACATAACCGAAAAGTTCTTTCCGTCACTGGCATCATCACAATTTGATGACAGTGATCACCTGAAAACTTCACCGTTACATTCAAGTTCTGAAACTCATGTATATCAACGGTATACACTCTACAGTCAAGCTGAATATGATCGGGAGAATGGAACGGATGAATACCACAGTATTTTATATTGTTGGGATGGTGTTTCTGCAGCCTCATCGTCTACTAAATCTGTCCCAAAAAACATTTTCACTTCAGATCAGACTTCTTCAATAGAGAGTTTTGGATCATTTTCTGCATCGCCGTTATCGTTAACTGGACTTACAGCTACTATGACTATTACACTGTATGTGGCAGATGAAAATGACAATGCACCAATCTTTGATAAACAGCAGTATGAGGCAGAAATCATAGAAAATGCGCCAACTAATACAAAGATAATACAGGTAAGCCTCTTTAATTGCACTAAAACTACATACTACTGATTAATTTAGACGAGTAGTTGTACACCAGTAGCATCAAGCGTTAGTGCTTGCTAACCAGATTGAAGTGATCTAAACACCAGACGGAGGTTTCTCTCGTTTCAGGTCGAGTTCATCAGCAAATTAAGTTGCGAATTGAGAATTTGATGTAGGCTTCTGTATACAAACTCTTACAAAATATACATCAGTTGTAAAAATTATTTCAGTGGTACTTTTCACCGCTTAATGTGTTACTGCACTCAAACAAATTTTATGACGTAACTTTTCGTATGTATTTCAAAAAGTGGGAAATATTATTTCTGATATTTTATATAAACAATAATAATAATAAAAACAATTGGATAATGTTTCGCCTATTAGTTTGTTTATTAGATATATCACACAATGAAACAGTATTATTTACTGGATGATACAGTTTCGAACAAAATTTATTGTTCATAATCATATCACTTATAATCACACTACTTCTAAATTTGAGTTTTATAGTTTTCTTTGTTCTCTCCTATTTGTCTTCATAGGGGTAGTAGAATTTTCCAGATGCCCCACTGGACAGGTGTTGAATCATTCCTGTTACACGTATTTGCAGTTGATTCGATAAACAAAGCTTCCGTTGACATCGATCTCTCCCTCCACCCTGCTTTACATTAGATTTTAAAACTGTCATCTTATCCCATCCAGCGTTTTGTTATGGTTGTGTGTAATTGCATGTAGTGCATGTAGTTAAACACTAGTGTTTACAGGAAACCCACACATTCAAACAGATATTTGGACTCCCGATCATCCCATCCTATGTCAGTGAAAATAGGATTGGTGCAATGTTTAAATAATAGAGCACAAATCTAAGTAGTACCGAGGTAAATCTAAGGAAGGAAGTGAGGCATATAAGAGAAGCTTTGAAACTTAATAATTACCCTGATAAATTAGTCAGAAAGTATATAGGGAAATGTAAAAATGAAATAAATAATAATAGTAGTGGTAGTGATAATAATAATAATGATAATATTAGTAATATTAATGACGACATGCATGTCAAACATGCACAAGATAATGACAACACCAACAATAAGGAATCTAAATCACCAGTAGTAATCCCATACAAGGAAGGAACCTCAGAAACTTTAAGCGGAATTCTTAACAATAGGCAGGAATAAAAGTGGCTGTCATTCAAACCCACAAACTCAATTAGTAACAAGATTTGTCGATTAAATGATCAATCCTGTGGAGGCTTTAAAACAAAACAGTTTAGTTTATCTAATTGATATGTTTATGAACCGCAATAAATATTATTCGAAACGTCATCCAGTAAATAATACTGTTTCATCACTGTGTGATATCATCTAATAAACAAACTAATATGGAATTACTTACTACCAATGTTTTGAATATAATTCATAGTTTAGAGTGGAATCAAATATAAAGATAAGTCAAAGCACGGACATATAAATACAGTGGAAACCCATCCAGAAACCAAGTTGTCACTGTTAGATATCAAAGTTAAAAAGGAAACAGGATGGGTGGTTAGACACTAGTGTCTGCAAGAAAAACGTCACATCGAAGTTAGAACGCAATACCAAGATACCGCAACCCCCCACTCATTTACTCTCTAAAAACCACATTTATATGATAAGTCAGCCTACCCCTAAAGTAGAGAAACAGCAGTAGCCGGGTGTAAGGTGTATTACATATGAATTTGGTAAGAGTAACAAGAAATTCACGAGAGATTATTATAAGAGAAATAAAGCAGGTATTTTTTGGAACAAATATGCTTTTGTGTAAATGTTTTTGTCATTTAGAACTGTGACTTTAGAAGAAATGACTTAAAACTTTCAAACATATGAAACACTTACATGGTGGTCGTGATATTTAGTAAATGCATGAATTAAAACTTGAATTATCCCTGAGCTATTATTGTTCACTCATACGGCGTATTTCTCTACAATGAAAGTAAGAAAGGCTCACTAAGTTAACTGCCTTCTGGTCAAACAAGATGCACATTTATGCATCAATTAGAAGTTTAAAAAAACTGTCTATTATAAGACTAGTGCGTTGGTGGCACAGCGATAGAACGTTCGCCAACCAGGCATGCGATCCGAGGTTCGATCCCCGGCCACCGACGAACTCCTAAACCTCGTTAAGCCAGTAATGAGACTGGTAAAGTGGGAAGGTTGGGCATGAGGCTAGCGATCCCATGCCGTAAAAATAAACACCACTGCTACAGAAACTTCAAGTCTCTAGCTTGG